GCGCTAGTGTTCCATATACGCTAATCCATGAATAAAGACAGTTCTTAGGCCTAAGCATGTTAGGCGATGTGCGTCTCCTCCAAAACCAAAATCTGCTTTTTCAGAAGTTATGCGCAATTAACATATTTCAACGTAATAACGTATTTAAAAACTGCGTAACTGAATATAGTAGACCAGAAAAAAACGATGCGGGCTACTCTTTAATTTTTGCTTCTTGAATAGGAAATCACGCAGGCAAGTACCAGTTCCATCAGTGAATCGCTTTCTTCAAACCGAAAGTGTTCGACACTGTCGAATACAACACGATGTGAGCTGCACTGGTAAAACAAAACAATGACGCCCGTTACATCAACCAGCTAAATGAAGAGAACCGTGGATGCTTCACAAACATCAAACTGTTCCAAAACACCTCAAGATTCCCTCAGAGAAGGGCCAGAAACAAGGGAACATCAATTCCTTTGAGCTCTTCACTGACTGTTTAAAAATGATGTTCAGGAAGGGTGGGATTAACATCAATTGAACAGCTCAGCCATCTAAAGTTCGCTAATTATGTGGTTTGTAAAAAATGCCAATCAGCTACAAGTCGTGTTGCAAAAGTTCGACAAAAACAGTGCAGAAGACGAACTGCGAATCAGTCTGTCAAAGACGAAGGTACTCTGACGAGATACAGGGCCAAAGGCCAAGGCAATCTGTTCACGGTGTAAGGCACGATAATAAAGTCGACTCGAAGTTAACAATTACCTGAGCCAAGAGACCAACATGCAGCATGATCATGATGGAGAACGGAGAATCGTTAGCTGGCATGCATTCTGTTTCATCAAAGACGCCTGACTCGGCAACATCAGGAAAGAAATCTGCACTGATCTCATCAATTTGTCTGTCCTGCTGGCGATATTTTATGGCTGTGAGAACGTGGTCACTCACAAAAACACAAGCTATCTGAAAGTCATCGCGAGCAGTGGAAAGGAGAATGTTGACTGAAAAACGTCGAAAGCAGAAGCTAAAGTAAGCCGTGCAGGCAGCAGATCAGCTCATTCAGTTGTACCCTTACAGGCGAACTAGGCTGTTCAATCGCCCATCGCAAAAAAGAAGACTGTCAGGAGACGGGAAGGCCACAAACCGTGTGGAA